GCGCCTCAGGGTCGTCGCTAAGCTGTTCAATTTGACCTTGCAGGTCTTCAAATTGGTCTATGACATTAGAAAATCGTTCGTAACGTTGTTCTACTTCCAAAAACTCGTTTTGATTTGTTACAGTATACAGGATAAAGTGTTTCTAATTTTTTTACATATTTTTCAAAAATTGACAGTTTTGCCTTGACCGAACCTCTTTTCCTGATAAGTTGCTCCATTTCGATAATAAATTGAATTGAATTATAGTTAAATTTTTTCAACGTGGTGCAAGTAATTTATAATTTACGTTTAAAAATGAGCAAACCAATCAAAAACCTTGATAGTTCAAAATGTTCAAGTTTGTTTATAATAGTGGACTGTATCGTTTGCTAGGCCTGGTTCAGCCTCTTCTATCGTTAAAATAAAACAATTCTTTTCGAAAAACTGAACAAACTAAACTTTAATTCTAAAAATTACAAGAAATTGCTAAATTTGTAATGAGAACTCGAAAAGAAATGCGTAAAAAATCGGAGCGCCGCTCGCATGTATATTCTGCAAAGGGTTCTCGAGTACTGGCCGTACTCCGTACTGGCTGTTGAGCTAAGATCGCCGCTGTTCCTGGGACACATTATTGCAGAAGGGCTCGTCGTTCCCCGGCACCGCACTACCTCACAAAAGTTTTTCCTTTGTTAGATGCCCGGTTGTCAAGTTTTATAAAATTTCTGAACAGCTAGATCAATCGTTAGTTAACTCCTTGTTAGTTAACAAAAACCTCAGATTGTGTCAATATGAGATTGTTTTTGTGTGGCACAATCTGAGGTTGTTGTTTGCTAACAAGGACTTGACTAACGATTGATCTCGTCGCTTTTAATGTACTAAAACCAAGTATGCATCAAGGAAAAGTCAGCGGAATCATAGCTTGTGGTGCAAACACCCTACACGTCAAGGCGAGGAACGACACGCTGTCTACGTCATCACTGGTGCTTTGGCGTGGGGCGGCTTGAGATTTGATCTACAGAGGCCATATGCAGATAGACTATCCTATGGTTGTCCTATCCTGTGTAGTGTATAATAATCCTTGGATCTCCTTCTCCAACCGTCTCAACTCTCAAGTCTGAAGCATCATCCGGTGATGCCGGAGACTTTGCGTATAGATAGAGTGTACCTAATGAATCTGTTATCAGATTTGTAGGATTTTCTTTTCAGCTTTTTTTTTCAATAAGGGCTTTTTTTTTCTCCGGTTCAACATACTTTCCAAGGTGGCATATTATCCCTAAAAACAGTAGGAGTGACAATGAATATACGGAAAACTAAAATAATGAGCACAATGTCAACGTTACTATTGAAAATCAGACTCTCGGAGAACGGATATAACTATCTCGGTCAAAATACACATGGAATGGAAGCTACGAGACTCAAAAGGAAACATTGAAAGACCGCAAACAAGGTGACGTGATGACATTCAAAGGATTGCTGGAAAAAACTGGATCCTGGCGGCCCAAGACAGGAACGGATGGAAGATTATGGAAAAGGCCTATGTCCAGCAGTGGACGGAAACAGGCTAGAAGAAGAAGAAGAGATTGCAGTTGCTTCGACTTTATTATTCTCTTCCTCTTTGTCCTCATCAACGTTCATAGAAGATGTTTATTTTTATCTTTATCAAGAATATTTACAGTTGTGTTAGAATCTTCATCTTTATTGAAACTGATTCTAGTTGCTTTATAATTTTTCTTTTTTTTTCTTTTTCCGTCATCAAGATTCAATGAAGCTGGCTCGATGTCCTTATTTTCCTTTTTGTCTTTTCATCAACTTTTGGGTTTATTGGTCGATAACAGAGCTGGGCAAAGCCCTCAGTAAAAGGGCTTGAAGCACTAAGCCCTAAGCCCTCTATCAAAGTGCTTCAATTTCAAGCACAAATTCCTTTTTATTTTCAAAAGTGCTTCACAAGCACAAAGCCCTCAAAGTGCTTTGGGCTTTGCAAGCACAAAGCCCTCAAAGTGATTTGAAAAGTGCTTGAAGCACATCAAAAGTGCTTGGGGTGCCTTGAAAAGGGCTTCAAGCTCTTTAAATGTGCTTGAAGCTCTTTATATGTGCCTAAAGCACTTTGAATTTGTGATAAAATTCTCAAAGTGGCATAAGCTACTGCGTACACTCATCACACAGAATTGGTATAGTAGAGACGAACTTTACATTTCACAGAGTAGCAGTAGTATGTTTTTTTTGAGATGTAGTTCTGGGGTAGGTACTTGGGGTAGTTGGGGTAGTTGGGGTACTACATGGTAATTCAATTTTAAGGTTTTCAAAATGTTCAATGGGGAAAAGTGAAAAAAATCCAGTGATAAAGTTAAATAGATACCAATATAAATTAATTATTTATTTGAATAATAAGTTCATTCTTTTTTTTTTAAATTCCATTCTAAGCTCAAACCCAAAACCTCCATTGTTAAGAGAGAAAAGACATAAGACGGTTCAAGTTCAAATAATAGAAAAAAAAAATTAAAGGACAAAATACAATCGAAAATTTTCAAGTGGGGGATAGGTTGAATGATGGTCAGTTCAAATTCCTTTCAAAGTGCCCTTTTAAAGTGCTTCAAGCTCCCAAAAGTGCTTCAAGCCCTCTTAAAGTGCTTCAAGCCCTTTCAAAGGGCTTCAAGCTCCCAAAAGTACTTCAAGCGCTCTAAAAGTAATTGAAGCTCATTGAAAGGGCTTGAATTACTTTTTTCAATTACAAATTACCAAGCACTTTTCTAAAGTAATTGACTTTGCAAGCCCCAATTACAAATCTATAAAAGGGCTTGAAGCACAGGGCTTTCAAGTCCTCAAAGTGCTTCAAGCACTTTCGCAAGCACAAAGCACTCAAGCCCTGCCCAGCTCTGGTCGATAAGAGACTGAAAAGGCTGAAAAATGTATTTCCTGGGTTCCAGTAAACACTGCTACATAAATTTAAGGTAGGTAGAAATTTACATACCTAAGAACCTACTTTACCTAAATACATGATATCTAAGTTTTTTTTTGAGTCACAATAAGGTAAAATTTAACTTAAATGTAACGCCTAACGTCTAGTAGATATAAAATTGATGTAAACCATATTAAGTAACAAAGTTTTGTATTTTTGGCCCTGAAAAATGTTGATAATTCCGACATTGCCTTTCAAAATCGCTCATAACTCAATTACTATTTCAAAAATTTTAATGCATATTTATATATTCTTAATCAGAATTAAATACTCTTTGAGATAAAGCAAAATTGGATTATTTATCTCAGATAGTTATCGGGATGTTGAGCCTCAAAGTTGAAACTTTGTCTTAAATTTTGAAAATCCTTCGAAGTCGGTGCCCCAAATAACCTTTTTTGAAGCCTCAATCGAGATTTACAATTGGACGAAATTTCGTATACCTACCGATAGTTTTTCTGGTTTTCTAGTTTTAGTAGATTTTACATAAATATTAGTAGTATTCACATAAGATTCACGGTAATATGATATTGAAAACCTACGTAAATTTTATATAAGGTACCTGACCCAAATAAGGCCAGGTACCTATTAAGGCCAGTGCCCTTTATTGCTTAATATTGAATCCCATTTCCAAAAATTATAATATTATTAGAAAAGAAATCTATAATGCAAATCAAAAATTATTGCAATGGTTTCTAGCAACTCGTCATATGTCGAAAAATGGCCAACCACATATTTCATATGTCACGTTATAACTTTGAGGCTGGAACTCAATTAGCCTATATACGTGTTTATAAAGTGAATGGAACGATTGTAATTTTTTAACGGACATTTATGTATTGAGAAAGCTACAGAGTAAGTACAGAATAATATCTTTGCTAGATTTCTAGTTACAGACTTTTGTTTATCAATTTAACATGTTCCTGATAAGGCCATCAGACGAAAAATGTTCAATTGGCCTCACATCACAGTGTTTTTCTAAAAGAATGTGTCATATTATTACCTAGTTGATGTTTTTTGAAATGCGTGGAGACTCTCCAAGCAAAATATGCTACGATTCATTTGTCCTAGTTGTATATAGACCTATTTGGATCACCATCCCAGGAATTGGAATTATTGTTTTTTTAGGAATGCAGCAAACGTATAAGTTCTTTTTGTGTACTATTCCTCAAATAATAATATTTTTATGAATAATTGAATTTACTTTAAGCATTTTTTAATGTTGGCCTTATTAGGAGCATAGTGATCCGAATAAGGCCAATGGTAAGCCTCTTTGTTTCACGCAAAAACCACCACTTATATAAAAAAATAAATAAATTGGAAGAAATATTCAAGTAATAGAAGCAAAACACTTCACATATAAGCTCGTGATTTTTGTTGGGTTTGGTGGATAATGTTAGGAAAAAATAAAACTTCTTAATATGGCCTTATTTGGGACAGGTACCTTAATATAAACGATAATAATGATTATTATCGCATAAATGTGACTTCAATTTACGTAAATCTCACATAATAATTCAATGTGTAATCCTCATTTTTTTTTGCGCTTTCACATAACTAGGAAAAAATATGAGTCATAACAGAAAAAATGGGAAAAATAAATGTGTACAAGATGATTATTAAAAAACCTTTAGTTAACATAAACTTGACATGAACATAATGTTAGTAAAGAAATGATCTGAAACTTATATTAACTTTACGTAAATCTCACAGTATATGGAAAAAAGAGAAAGAAGCAGCGAAATGACCAGCACGATCTCCAGACATAAAACTGATCGATTTCTATAAAAGTTTTTAAAATGACAATAAGCAGTTAATTTTTTTCAGAACATTTTACATGTATAGTTTTCGGTTCTAATTGGGAGGAAAAATTCATTCATTCAACATAACAAAGAAGACATTTCAAATCAATTTTCAAGTTCAAAACGTAACAGGTTTCCGTCATTAAAAAATCTTCCTATGCTCATCCCCAATAAAATCAACCCCTACCTACCTATATGATAAAAACTCCATCATCTTACTCAATCAAATCTAATCGTTGTTTATACATGGCTCATCAGATACTTACCCCCAACCACTCCAAAAACCTATTCACTCCATGCAATAAGTGGCAGCTTGAGCAAGTGTCCTTAAAAAATCAGCTGATTTAGAATCTTCCTGCCAACGAAAACAGCCGGACAAAACACCAATGCACAATTCCATTATAACATCATTTTTACACACTTATTATTGTTTTTGTTTACGCACGATATAAAACCAAAAGAATTATTTACTTAATTCATTGTTCCTGGATGAAATGGATACAAAGACCGATTTTTCAGGATTCAGGATGCGAACCTGGTACGGCTGCGCCCTGAAACCCTTCTCTGTCTGTCTAGGAAGTTGAGGGATCGATTTGCAAAAGGGGAGGTTTTTGTCGGGGGGGTTGTATATGAGTTTTACTTCCGGGTGTGCGATTGATTTTAATATCTATATAAAGTCTGTTTTTTATTTAAAGATAATTCCCCAAGTCAAAAATTTAGTAACTATGTTGGCAACACAAGCCTTTTCTACATAAAAAATTTGAAAGCATTGACAATTTTACATTGTATTGCCAACATAATGTCATTTTGACTTTTATCTTAAAAAAAAAAACAGATTTTACAGTTATTTTGTTTGTTTGATTATTTAAAATATTTATACGTTATCACCAAATAAACAAACATGTTATGTTTTCCAAAAATAAATCCTAATCTTTTATTATAATAAAAATAATAATCAACAAATTATTTTTTGTTTTGGTCTTCAACTTGAGTTGGAACTTTTTTAAGTGAATCATCGTCGTTCCATTCTCGGTAGTCCTCCCATGGGGAACTCAAATCGAACTGTCTAAATTCTTGTGCGAACTCAACAGGTTCGAGTACCACTCGTTTTTTGATATCATCGTACCTGTATCAAAAAAAAAATATGTCTCTTAAAGTACAATATAAAGTTATTGAATTCTAGTAAAACTATTTTAGACTTTTCAAGAGAGAATCCTGAATATAAGTGACCTTGGAATGAGTTATTGAGACACTTGATGTCACTTCTATTTTTAGTGGAGGAAATTTCACAAGTCCTCTTTGATTGACATAAACTAACAACAATTGCATCTAACTCTAGTTCTCTTACCCTCTTTTCAAAATAGTTTAATCAAATTTCACACATTCTAGAGATTATATGGGATCAGCTTGCAACATTATCAAGAAATGATTTTGCCCATCAGTGTGGTGGGTACCTACCTACATAATCTACAAGATATGTTTCGGTTGTATCTCCTACTTCTTCTGTATCTTAAACTTCAAATTCTACCTGATTTTTTTGATTATTCATGTTCCCTTCAATAATTTCTTCTTCCTCTGTAACAATATCTCCTTGATTCATCTTGATGCTTGACGACTCGTTGTAATCGTCATCAGATTCAACTTCAAATCCATCTCTTCTGAATTTGTGATTTCGGCTGGCCAATTTTGCATAAATTCTCATCAAATTATGGTCTCTATAGATGTTTTCTTTAGAATAATCTGTATCTTTTTAAAATAGTAGTCCAATATATGTGGCAATCTGTCACCTGATTTGAATAATATAGATGAAGACATGCAAGACAATCAAAAATTCTCAGTTTTTCTAATCAAAGCTTATCTCTCCGATGCTTTTGACACTGAATTTTCAGTGATTTACTGTTCTAGATTCTCACTGATATGACTTCGAGTTTTGTTCCTTGCTTGCTCCATCCATTATAACCTTCTGACGAAACCTGATGGGAGGTCGAGAAATTTCCTGATACATTTATCATGAAGTGATAAGACTTTTATGGAAATTCTAGAAAATTTTAAATCATTTTCTATACATCAAAGAGATATCCATTCTGTGACTTTGCGAACGTGTCTGATACATCAATCGAGGTTCAAGAGAGTTTGAGAAAATTCAGAAACTGTCAATGAAAAGTCAAACAACAGGAAGATAAAGGCAAGGAGACATTGAGCAACTTCAAAGGTTTCAAAATAAACAAGGCTCCGTCGTTTACTTAAAACCATCACAAAAGAAGTCCCTGTTATAATAATAATATTTTAAAGTTTCCATGAATCAGCACTCATTTATTTTTTAGCTTGATCTTTTCCACTTGTTTCAGAAAATTCCTGTAAAATACAATCAAGAAACCATAAATTTTGACTCCCACTGAAATGGCTAAGTACATAATCTTCTAGATATTTTGGCTGCATTTCCTCTAGAGTATTTCTTAACTTAAGATTCTACCTAATTATTCTGTTCTTGTTCCTTTAACATTTTGGGGTGAGATATCAATTTTTCAATTTTTCTAAGTGCCTTTTTTCATAGATTTCGGCTTTAAATCTGGGAATAATTTAGTATATGAAGTTCAGGGGATATCAAATGACCATAAGAACACAAAATCTCAACAAAAAAAATTTTGAAATTTCATCGTTTTAGTAAGAAGTTAGCTACCTTATGATTTAGATTTTGGAAAACTTTGAAAGGTCATAAGTTTTTTTTTATTATAGATAGAAAGCTGAAATTTTCAGCGATTCTTATTCCAGTAGCGGATTTCAATCCCTGAAAATTTCAACCCATTTGGACTTATAGTTCCTGAGATAAAATCGTGTTAAGCAATTTGGGGTGATTTATCAATTTTTCAATTTTTCTGAGTGCCTTTTTTCATAGATTTCGGCTTCAAATCTGGGAATAATTTAGTATATGAAGTTCGAGGGATATCAAATGACCATTAGGACACAAAATCTCAACAAGAAAAAATTTGAAATTTCATCGTTTTAGTAAGAAGTTAGCTACCTTAAAACAGTAAATCCACTTTATTGCTTTGCAGACGATGGCAATGTAGTCTCCTCACTCATACCACTTACAGGTCTTTCCGCACGTGAATTCCATCATCTTAGACTAACTCAAATATCGCAGATAAATAACGACCTGGAGATAATAGAGGACTGGGGTAACAAAAACCTTGTACAGTTCAACGCGCAGAAAACCCAAGCAGCTCTGTTTTCAAAAAAGACCAGCACCGGTGAACCAAACATCATGCTATCTGGAAGTGCTGTCACATTACAGAGTCAGTTGAACATCTTGGGGGTTACTGCAGAGACCAACATGTCTTGGCACAGTCACGTGGCAGATATTGCTAAAAGGGCGTCCCAAAAGCTGGGGGTGCTATTTCGTACAAGACATCTGTACACACCAAGCCAATTGCTGACACTCTACAAAGCCCAGATTCGACCAACTATGGAGTACTGCTCACATATATGGAGTGCAGCACCCAAACATACCTTAATGCTTTTGAACACCGTGCAAAAACGAGCTATCAAGCTGATCAATGACCCCGCACTTACTCGTAACTTGGATGGTCTCGAACATCGCAGATCTGTGGGCGATTTATCTCTCTTCTACAGGTACTATCACGGAAAATGCTCTGAAGAGTTGGCACGTATGATTCCACCGAGAGTAGCGCCTACCAGGCGAACCCGTCAAACAGACGGTAACCATAAATTTACTGTCAAACTAGAGGCACCAAGAACCTCATTATATCAGAATTCATATCTCTGGAGAACAGCATCGCTGTGGAATAAACTCCCTGCGACGGGTTTTCCTGCAGGTTACAACCTGAACCGTTTCAAGACCAACATACACCGACATTTCCGCGCACTTGCCGCTTCTCGAGCGTGATAGGACATTTCCTTGCGAGTGCGCATATCCGTAAAAAAAAAAAAATACCTTATGATTTAGATTTTGGAAAACTTTCCTGAGATAAAATCGTGTTAAGCAATTTGAGGTCATTTATCAATTTTTCAATTTTTCTGAGTGCCTTTTTTCATAGATTTCGGCTTCAAATCTGGGAATAACTTGGTGTATAGAGTTCGGGGGATATCAAATGACCATTAGGAATAAGATAGGTCTATTAACCTGTCTGTCCTTGAAGAAAAACATGTATCGAGCACCTGAAGCTGATGGAGTTTGAAATGGTCCACATAGGTCACTATAAACCAATTCACTCGGAGCACTTTTACGAGATCTCATTCAATTTTTGACTGTGTTCTCTTTCCAAAATTACAGTCTGCCTAATCAAAATTTTTAAAGTCACTCATTTTAATACCATATTTACCAAATTTCCATTTACTATTTCCTTCAAATATCGAACATTTATATGTGCTTACCATTAATGCTCACTTGTTTCTTGATGCTTGGACTACGAAAAAGCATTCAATATAGTGTTTTAGAGATCTATCAATAAGGAAGGAAAGAACGCCCTAGCAGGACAGTGCGCATGCCCGGAAGACATTTTGATATAGGTTGTAATAGAAATGACCAGTTAAATATGTCATTACTGCCAGTAGTGCCAGTGTTGCCAGAGGCGGTACAATTGTACCAGGTTTGGTACCATTCGTTTTGAAAAAGTACGCTGGTACGACGTTGGCATATTTAGTAGCTAGAATTTTCATTTTTTTAATTTTTTCCAATTTCTCAAAGAGTCTAATGGCCATTTTCTCCGTAGTTCATAAAGCCTGGCTTAGTGAAAACCCTAGGCTTTTTGTGTGACAAAGCCGAGCTTTTCTACTAAGCCAGGCTTTATGAACTACTTTGTGTTTAGTTCAGGTTTTCGGCAGAAAATAAAGAAACTTAGAAAACTGAAAGCCTCGTACTTTAAATCGGTTTTCCTGATCGGAAAAGTGAAAAATCCAAAGAAAAACCATTGAAAAATGACATTGCAAAGCCTACTTGATGAAACTTAAGTTTTTGTTACTTACCCCGTTGAAAAACTCAAAAATTTTTGATACAAAATGAAGTTGGTCGAGCCAAATTACCATCAGAGTAAATTTTCGATTATTCCCGGTTCTAACACTTGGAATAATAATTAGTCAATTTTTTTTTGACAACTGACAAACCTACATACAATATATTATGACTTTTGACAATTGACGAGTTCATTTTCAGGACCACCTACGATTGTTATGACTTTTTTTGTCAATTGACAGCCTTGTGATTCAGATTGAGGCTTACAACAGCAACGTTTGCCACATTTTAACAGTAATTTTGGAGCATTTATAATTGCAAATGTAAAACGTTGACAAGTGGCAATTGACATCAAGAAACGACTGTTATGATGTTGTAGGCTGATTGAAATTTTTAACTTTTGGCAATACTGTAACGCTAGAGGATTGAAATTGCGTCTTTTTTTTAATCAAGAGCCCGAAGGGCAACAAAGAAATGCCATTTTGTATCGCGTTTTAAAGAAAAGAAGGCCTACTTTGAAACGTCAATTTTTTGACGTTTGTTGTATCATAAGCAGTATTTCCATATGTTTTTTTCAAATCTTCAGCCTGAATGGTCGGTGTTGTTTTAATTACGTTACGAGCCCCAAGGGCTGGAGTTATATGAGTCCGTTCATTGTCAACTGATTATGAATATTACAAGGTCTGTGATGTCCTTAGATGTTATGGGCCGTACGCGCGCTACACTGAAGGAATCAGCGTGTCCTCCTTGGCCGAGTGGCCCGGGTAACCCGCTCTGGTATAATAGACCTATCTATTTTACCAGACAAAGAGGTGATAATACGAAAACTTCATTAAATAAAAAAAGACACAGAACGCTCATTGCGCAAGACGAGGCAAAACGTACCAAATTATGTTAGACCTACGTATAGCAATCCGTCCTTCTTATTTGCACAGGATAAAAAGGAAAGAGGAAAAACCGCGTGTTGTGCAACGTATTTGTCAATGAAAATGTCAAACAACTTTTGAATGAGACTTGTCAAGTTGAATATCAACTTTAGATTTATTCTTGTCAGACCACGTGCAATGAACAAGGATAAAGAGATGCCCAGCGTGCAAAACGATCACCTCACACCTGTATTAGCTAGCCAATAACAAGACATTGCCTCGTGTTGCGTGCGCATACCAGGTAAAAATAGATAGGTCTATTTTGCTTTAATTTTGGTACAAAAAAATTTTTGCTCTCTGGCAACACTGATTACTGCGACTTGGATTTGGTTCAACCATAGGAAATTTGAAACTACTTCCAGCAAGCAACCTGATGGATGATTAAAAAAAAAACATTATGTACCTCGACTCAAAATATCCGGCACAAGGAAAATCCTTCCTCAAAGGATGTCCATCAAACCCATAATCAGTCATTATTCGTCTCAAATCAGGATGATTAGCGAAAAACACTCCAGTCAAGTCCCAAGTTTCTCTTTCAGACCAATTCGCTGACTTATAAATGCCGGTAACCGATTCAATCGGAGTCAGTTCGTCTGTATAAGTTTTCACTCTAAGTCTGGAGTTGAACCTCAATGAAAGTAGATTGTAGATTACTTCGAATCTAAATGGTCTACTTGGTACGTCTATGGCGCAGATTTCCATGCAGCATTGCATCTGTGATTGGTGATGGTCTTTCAGGAACTGAAATATTAAAGTTAGTTATTGTATATTTTCAGGAAAAATCTTTACAGTCATGACTGGTAATATTCCTTCAGGCGGTATCATGATTTCCAGCTCATTGCAATGGTTGAAATGGACTTTTTGAATGTATTTTGGTAAACATTCGTGCACGTAGACTCCAAATTCTTTCAAATAATCTCCTGGGGGTTTGATATTTTTTTTGCAGCTTGATAATTTGCTCGATTTCCTTGTAATACTACAAGGAAGGAATTTATAGTTTCTGAGAAGGAAATTCATTATTGTTAAAAGTGTCACCCTGAAATCAATCAATCAACTACCAGAGCTGTCATTTAAATCGTCAAAAATTTTTGAAAAAAAAAACACACACAGAGCAAAAATCTTTTTATGAATCTATCCAAATGAAACTCAAATATTTAGTTTCAATAATTTAGCCAAAAGCTTTAAAACAATCAAATTGTCAGTAGGTATATAATATTGCAACACTTTAATGGCATACTTTACGAGAGCAAAAAGGAGAAAATTATCCGAAAGTAATCTGGAGGAAGACGATAATGACTATGACGAACCTCCAAGGAGTTATAAAAGGAAAAATCCCTTTATGTTTGTACCGACAGAAGTGATACAACTAATATTTGAGCACATATCTTATAATGAACTAAGTAAGTATTGCTTCAATTGAGATAATTAGGCTTAATTATACAAATATTCAAGGTACCAGAGTTCGTTTAGTCAACCGAAGATTCAAAGTGATTGCCGAAACTTGCCTGAATATAGCTTTTCGGAATATTGGAACAAAATTGGATGATTTAATCAAAATTACCGACACATCTTTGAGTCACACACAAGACGATATGATTATTAAATGCATTGCAAAGTTACTTTGGATATTGAAAATACTCAAGCAACAAGTAAATATTTAAGCCTTAATTTAATAAGCTTAATTCATTATTATTTAAAGCACATGGTAATATTTGCCACAATATGGAGATATGTCTACAATGACTATTACAAGACTAATCAATCTTGCATGTACGGAGGCCTTATAATAGATATTCACGAGGCTGTTTTTAGAAAATTCGATCAGTGTCCAAACGACCTTTACAGTCCATCTGTAATAAAAGACCATGTAAGAACTATTTTTTCTTGATTTCTGAATTTCTAGATTATTTTTTTTTTATGTATAGGCCTTGCCATCAGAAGTCTCAGAAGTAATATTTTTAACTAAAACCTTTTGCGTGCACTTCGATAAAGTCACCGAAGAACTTTCACCTAATCCGCGTGTTTTGAGCGGATGCAAAACTTTGGATATACTCGACTGCGCCAATTTTGCTCAGACGAATCGAATACGACTTGAACGACGTTCCGATACTCTTTATGCAAAGGTAGGTAACTATCATAGATTGAATGAAGTCAGTATAATGCTGAGTAACTTTGAATTTGGAGTATTCTGAGGTATTGACAATTATTCTGGGTAGAAACTTAAGTCTTATTAGCTCTTGTTGTTAATGTTGATGTGCAGGAGGTTGGTCATTATTGTGGGTTCTGATGGTAATCATTGGTAAACAGAATATGTCATGGCTAATTAATAAGCTGTTCAAGATCGATACTGGCCTAAAAAAAAACGTCATTATTAGCTCTAAAATGCTCATTCGTTTCCAGGTCAGTATGGTAGGTACCTACTTAAACAACTCAATAATAAACGAATTGCTGCGGAACTCGCCAGACTGGGAATTTACTTATTGATGAGTAGTTCAAGTATCATCATCATCGTCGCGGGAATCTGACAGCCTTTTGCCGCATTTTGATCGCCATTTTTTACGGTTTCTCCATTCTTCCTCGTTTATCGCTCATATTTTTTTTCAAAATGTTATCTATCCACGTTAGCGCCGGTCTTCTTTTCTTCCTTCTATTCCATGGAACGTACATCAATAATGCTCTGTTTGGCCATCTTCTCCATAACATGCCCATACCATACAAGGTGACAATTTGAAAAGTAGCAAACAGAAATGTCTCTTAGACAAAAAATACTATCAGGAAAATCTCAATAACGTATCAAGGGATTGGAGGTACTCCAAGTAACGTTTGAAATGGAACTTCCATGATATTGATCTATCAAAAACCGATTTAGACTCTAAACTGAAAAGGACAAATATCCTTCTTAGCAAGGTAAGATGAGCAGACACTTTTAAGATACTTTTTGATTATTGTTGCGGAAAATATGAAAATTGTTTAGTGGACTGTATGATTTGAGAGAAAATGAAATAAATGTTTGAGCCCGGTTCGCACAAATCACTTACCTTTAAAAAGGGTTTCTGTTCGTTCTCTGGGTACTGGTCCAAACTGAAAAGTGTTGACTGTAGCAGAGTACTCTATAGCTTCTTAGGGCAGTAAAATAGGGGCAGTTTCGTTGTATTGACCGAACCGTCCGATACGACACGAATTTGTACGGGTCGCGTTGCGAGAGTGTGCGTTGTCTACTCTGCAGTCGAGAATATATTATTTTTAAAATTTCGAACAACGCAGCATGAAAATGCAGCTGCTTCTAGCAAGTGACGTGTGCGCATATGATAAACGAAAAAAGTCGCTAATGAAAAATATAGGCACAATCGAACTTTGTAGATTGCTCTACACAAACTAAAATAGGCAAAAAGCCCTTTTGAGAGTTTCCTAAACAATTATTTTAAGCCAAATAAAGTCATAGATAAATCCTGCGAAGAATTAATCAAAATTTTAGACAACTTTTATGATAAAACAATTTATGTTTTATCAGAACGTGCTTTATTCGCAACCAGATTTCGGAAGGAAGGAGAAACAATCGCAAAATCGCATCCTTTCAAGAACGTCTACGCGCTCAGATAGTGATAGGCATCCAAAATACAACATTACAACGAGAAGTTATCAAGCAATATCCTAATAGAACTTCAAGATTAGATGAAGTTCAAGCAACAGCTTCTGCATTAGAACAATCTTGTCTTCAGTAACAACGTTTATCAAGCATTACAAGCAGTTTTGGAAACAACATATTGATAATCAATAAACCAAATATAGAAACAAAGACATAAAATTTAAAAAATCATACAAAAAATTATACTGGGTCCTAAGACGCATTGCTTTTCGTGCGGTAACTCAAGACATGAAAATATGCAACAGTGTTCAGCTAGAGGAAAACTATGTTCACTCTGTAATTCCATGGACCATTGCCAAAGTTTGCATTACAAAGGGTTAAGCAGAAATATATATAAACTTCAAACGAACGCTGGACTCGTTACGTTAGAAGTAATCACTTACAAAAAGATCATGATAATGAAAGTGATGCAAGCTATTCTTCTGGGGATATAAAAAGTAGGTAGGTACCTACTTATTGATATTTACATGAATAATGATGAACTTGAAATGCTGGACGATTCCGGATCTTCTCATTTAATTATAGGAAAATCCATCGTGGGAGAAATTTGGAAAGCCTAAATTAACTCAAACGGAAAATTTTCACCGTTACATAAAAGAAATAACGCATAGGTATTATGAAATGGTGCCGCGGAAAACAGATTGACACAAGCAGTCAATACAACAACTACTCAAATCAACAAATAATTACAGCAAGTAAAAGAATTTCGCCAAAAATGACAAAAATATAGATTTAGCTCTTTTAAGCTCATAGCACTTAAGCCCGTTAAAACTACTTGGTGATCCTTATAGTTTTTACAGTTTATAAAGAAGTAATATCAATACAAGACAATTTAATTTTTTATGGCCGTATTATTTCAAATATGGTTTGTTCGAAATTAAAGCTGTCAAAAACATTTAGTACTCTGTCCCTTCCCTTCCTTTAATTTACTTACTCTATATCCAATATAAAGTTTACATTGAAATTCCCTCCCCAGATGACATAATTATAATAGTATAAACCCTGAATCCTTGGTAAATTCTTTTATTTAATATGTCTACTAAATCAAGAAAAATAATAATGGATCCCAAGCAAGATCTATAAACACATATAATTATTACTTTTTCGCAGTGTTTTTCAAGATCCCATTCTTTTAACATTTTCAGCTCCTCAAAGTCTGTCATCTCTTCCTGTAGAAAGATACACACTCCTCCTCTTTTTTTGTATTGCCTTGAGTAACATGTTGCATGTTGCCGACTTGTAGCCCTTGATTTTGACAAACTGCTTCTCCACTGGATTGAGCCAATGTTCGGAGTTACATATCTAGCTACTACTTGATACTTTGTTTCTGTCATTTCCATTGGGAAATTTAAGGGAAGTTGTGATAAAGTAAAAAAAACGAAAAATTTGTGAAACGTCTCCTTTATTATCAAAGAAAAACGTACCGTTCTCGACCTAGAACTAACGAGGGGAAAGAGCACGGCAGAGAAACCCTCGGTCTAACATTCCCCAAAAATCGGAACATACTGTGTCATTTTAATAATAATTGTGAGTCATTAATTCAATAATTTAAGTCAATAAAAGTTTAAATTAGGTACCGCCCCTGTTCTTGTGCTAAAATTTTAATTACACACACTACATTCAATCAACACTACCTATATTCCAAACTAAAGAGTTTTTGGTTAGTTAGCCAGTTTCCCAGCAGGTACTGAGGTCCCATACGGGAAGCTACTCAGCTATAGTTGTTTTTGAGACAATATCTCTAGATTGATTATTTTAGTTTGTTAGGATATTCTCTCGTCAGGGTAGGAAAATGTTAGTAAATTCAATAAGGCTCCAATACACGCTCTGAATACACAAAATCAAAATCTCAGCACAAAAAGACAGCACATAATTTCTTAGGTTTTAATTTACTCTTTATCTGTGTTGTTTACAGCATGAAACGATTTTGGTTAAATACATAAACAATGCACATGTTATAACAAATGTTATAAACAAACAAAAAATTCATAAAAATGAAAAAAAATAATAGGAACTTGCATAAATTGAACTCTCAAAACAAAATAATAATTATTTAACTGACCTGGTGATCGCTCCTTGACACACACACTAATAACAAATTGGATTAAACAATCCATTTAATGCAAAATGAAAATGAAAATTGAATAATGAATAATTACAGACACGCGTAAAGGGAACAGCCCAGCACCCAGCCTGTTTTCTAGTCTAATGCCTCATCGCTTATTCTTTACCTCCTCTTTGCGTCGGTACTTTCTGTTGCGGCGCGTCCCGTTCCGAAAAACACGGCGCATACATGGTTGCAACATTTAATTTTCTTCAGTAAACATTTTTTTTAAAAGTTAAGATTTGAAAAAATAATATTTTAAATAGGAGATTTTCCTCAGAAGTATAAGCAAAAGGTTCAAGTAAGAGGTAGAAGTAGAAGCATTTACTTCATATCATATGAATGAGCATATGCTTCAAAAAAATGAAGTGAAAGATACTGTTCTTTCAATCTAAGGCTCGAATGCCAAAGTAAATCACTAGATCATATGAAACATTACTGGACTTTGACATTCCATATGAAGTGGTTGTAAAAGAACACCAATCATGCTACCCTATGAATAAAAAAGAGCATTTGCTTTTTCTCGCAAAATCTGAAGCAAATGCTTCATCCAGTATGAATAAAAGCTCAAGCAAAACTTAGAAGTCGGAAGCAAATGCTCCAGAAAAAAGCAAATAGTCTTTTTCTTATAAATAAAAGAGAGTATTTGCTTCAAATTGGGAGCATTTACTCCTTGCAAAATGCATCTGCTCCAGAGCAGATGTATGTTTACTATTTTGGTAAATTATTTCCGAATATTCTGATTTCCCGTTCTTTTGTAGATTAGCAGTCGTTATAACTTGTTCCAGCTGCTCTAGTGTTCAAGATATGTAGGCTCCTTCCAAAGGAGGCCAGCTTCCTGGGTGGTAAAGTATCCACCTTTTGAGGTATGAGCAAGGTATTTCAGCCTTTTGCATTCACAGATTAAGTATTCTGTAGTTTTTAATGCTTGTTCGCAAGATCTGCAGTAATCGTAAACTGATTTGCCTATTGTTTTTAGGTGATTTCACCAGAAAATGCCCAGTGAGCAGTCGACCAACGAATCTTCTAATGTCTCTTCTGTTTATTGTCAAGAATCTGTTCAGATCTCAGATATATGAACCTTCTCCATCTGCTGATTTCTTTGGAGACGTGGCTTCTCATTAGTACATAGAAAGCCACTGGGCCTTGAAAAGGTGTTAAAGCGCCTTGCTTCGTGAGACAGCCCGCCTCTTCGTTGCCCTCTTCACTTTATTCCTATCAGCCAGATGTTTAAGGATATTTTTGCCCTAACCCAAACTAGCTGAAAATTGCACTTGATTGGAATCTAGAACCTTTAGAGCCGCTTGACTGTCGGACAGTATGTAAATGTTCTCTCCTAAAAGGACTCTTTTAAGACAATCTTGGGCACAGAT